ATCCAGGCTCCTCTGCCCCAGCAGCAGCTGTCCCTGTACCCACCGCTGCCTTTGTGTGTCCACCTGCAATGCGTTTCCCTCCATCTGCCCAGCCACCTCCGTCAGACCCTCTGAGGGCGCTCTCCCAGTCCTCACTGGCCCTCCTTCCCTCGCTCCACTGCCATTGGGCCCAGCCACTTCCTCTGCCAGATCTGAGGGCCATGGCCACGTCCGCCTCACTTCCCTGATAACTGGTGGCCATTGGTCTCAACTGTGAGCTGTCATGAGTGAACGGGAATCTGACTGTTCCTTTCTTATCCTACCAGAACGCTGTCAAACTGGGCGTATGAATTTGACAAGTGGGCCCCCTCCGTGGTGAAGGTGTCCTACAAGGTATGTCACGGCCTGCAGAGGTCACCTCGACTCTGAGGGGACATAGGCAGGGCAGGGTTGGATGAGGAGGTACGGGTGAGTGAAGGGAGGGCAGCTGGCACCGGTGCCTTTCCGTGTGAGGTCTCATTTTATGCACACAGGACCATGGTACTGATGCAGGTTTGGGGCCATCTATTTTGTGAGCAAATATTTATTTTTAAAATTAAGTTATGGACTCAATTTGTAGTATATGGTGGCATTAATGCATTTACTGGAATATTTTGTTACTCTCACCCAAGCTTTGGTTAAAAACCCACTTATGGATGAGGATTTAATAATTGTATGCTGTGGGCCACTGTGAGGCAGGGACACGGGTCGTGGGCCCTGAGGCGGGCCTGCTCTGGGTGCTACATGGAGATCTGTGCGTGGTCTCCTCAAAACCACCCCCCTGTGAAGTGTGGCCTATCATTGGTCCTGTTTCCTGGTGAGGAAACTGAGGTAGAGAGAATTCCAGGTAGCCAGTGAGTGACAGATCCTGGTTGGGTCCCTGGCCGTCAGACTCCTGGGTCTAGGCTCTTCAGCCTGCACCATGAGGCTCTTAGCCCTGTGTCAGGGACAAGGGGCCCAGGCAGAGGGGACAGTATGGGGAGGGGCCTACACTAGAGGGAAAACGTGGTGGGGCTGAGGGGCCGTAAGTGTGTCTGCTGGTGAGAGCTCACGAGCCCCGTGAAACTCGGTCTGTCTGGAACGTAAGCCTAGGAGAAAGTGCCAGTGCCAAGTCCTGGGGTCCTGGTCATGTAGATCAGGCATTGAGACCTAGGGAGGGACTGGGCAGATTGGCAAACTGGGAAGGAGCCTGGAGGGATCTCGGTGGCTGGCACTTGGGGTGGGGGGAGTGAGGGAGTGGTCCTGACCCTGATGGCTGAGGCTTGTGTGTCCTGTTTCCCTCGCAGGGCTCTCCAGCAGCGAGACGGGCTTTCGTGCCCCAGCTTCGCAGTGGGAAGTTCAACGTTCTGCTAACCACCTACGAGTACATCATTAAAGACAAGCACATCCTTGCCAAGGTAGTGTGTTCCACGCAAAACACACCAGGCCACGGGCATCGCGAGCTGTCAGGAGCTGTTGCTGCCTGATTGTCATGTGTGTGTCATGCTGCCTATCTTCTC